TAATTGTTTGAAAGTATTTATATAAACTGTTAAAAATATATATATATTTTTTTCTTAATTGCCATATTCTGAAATATATGTTAAATATTTAGGAAAGTCGTTGTTTACATTTTAATTTTGGCCTTAAGCAACTAGCTTAAATATCTTAAATAGTTATAATTAAATATTAAAAATCTTTTAAATAATTATATATTATATAAATATTTAATAATAGATAATGTTCACGAAATCAAAAAAGTATCGGTGTAACATTATTAATTGCAAAACATTGAACGGTTTGATGAAGAACTATAACGGGTTCTATAAAGAAACTTATTTATGGTTCTTAAAAAGAACCGTCTTAAAGGGTTCTTTGAAGAACCTCTACGGGTGCTCCACCAGTGTCAACGCGAAGAACCCTTAAAGGTTCTTTGAAGAACCATTCGGCTTTAGAGTGAACGATTTACTGTATTACTATAACAAACAAACCATTCATCAATAGTTTTGACATTTAAGAGATCTTTCTCTTTTTCAATATATTTGCAAGTAAATGTCTTGTAATTTTAAACAAGATAAGATTTCTCTTGGACGTCAATGTAAAGCTTACAGTTTTTTTTTTGCTAACCCGCTTTGCTTCAGTTGTTTCTGTCACTGGTTCCAACTGTACTTTATATTTTTTTAAATTTTTATTAACAATGAGACACATTTCCTGAATCTTGATTTCACAATTGTTTGGATATTTAAGTATATTATTACAAGGATTTTTTTTAATCGATGGTATTTCCAATAAATAAAGCCGACACTTAAGTTCAATGTTATTTTTAATTGTTTTTGCAAATTTGCAAAATCCTGATTAAAAACGTTTTTAATCAAAATTGCAAAAACCTGATTAAAAGCGTAATACATCAGTTATTGTATTATTGTATCTTTTTCCAAACCCGTAATTCTTTCTTATTTTCTGTTAAAGAAATATAGCTAAATTTTGCAAAACTATATTTGCAAGAATGATACAATTATCTTAACGATAAAAATTAAAATTAAGTTTTTTGATACGTATATGCAAATTGTACCTACGATTACTGATCAGTCAATCAAATTTAATGAAAACTTTCAAAACATTGACTTATTATTGACGTCATTAAAGACAAGTACAAAACCAATTCTGAGTAAAGGCAAGCTTTTATTTATTTTAATTTCAAGTTATTTTTAGTCAAAATTGAAATTAAAAAAGCACAGTGGGCCAGGTGGTGGATAAAATTAAAAAAAAATACATTTTCAAAAATTACATTATTATAAACCTTTTTATAGCTTAAACATTCAGCTTTTATAAAATGTATATATTTTTATATATTTTTATTTCATATATTTTTTTATATAATTTTTATAAATGTATATATTTTTGTATAATTATCATCCCGTATGCTTCTGAGCTAAAAATAAAAAGCTTCTTTTTTTTTTTTTAAAAAAAAAAAAGGTTTTTCCAATTTTTTTTTTTTAATTTTTTAATTATTTTTTGTGTTACTAACTAGCATGGAATAGATATTATTTTAAAAAATTCTTTTATTGCATAGTTCAATAAAATAAAGTATTATCTTTCAAGTGAGCAATTGCAACACCCTTTTTAAGCTATGTTAAAATAAAATGATTTCAAATGGCGGCGTATTTGAAGTACTTTTTTTAGTTAAAATTTCACTTATACAGTCAAATACTTTTGCGTTCCTAAGCGGTCCAGTTATTTGAGACTTGAAATATATTTTTTAATATGTGTACTATCAATATAAATTAAATGGTTATGTAATAATAGGGTCTCAGCAAGATTAGTGTTACAAACTTGTTTTATACATCTTAAAATACCTATTTGTAAGATTTTGTAAATGAAATTCATATTTTTATATAGTTAAAACATGAAAAATTTTGATATTTATTCATATATTATACAAGAAAACCTGAACTTAGCTAATCCTAATATTTTGAATGCAGTTGTAAATGGCATAAACTTAACTGCAAAAACCCAAAACCTGTCTAATTTCATAAAGCATCTTTGACAAAGGCAAATATGCAAAAGCTCTAAAATTCGTCTTGAAGAGTAAAAACAAACAAAATAAACTAATATCAGTTCAGTTTGTAATTGATAATAAGAAAAATCTTCCAACTGTTTCCATTGATAAAGAAAACTCTTATCCAACTGTAGTATCTGGCAAGCTACAGATAAATTTTGATATTTTAATCGTAGCGGCAAAAAATAGGCCTCCCGCAAAATTTTAATTTGGGCCCCTAAACTACTTTCCTGCCCCCCTTCCTCCTTCGCCTTTTTTGAAAAAAATTTTCAAATATGAAATGTTGAATACACATAAGTGCTGCTATTATATTTTTAAATGAGCAACTTATATTTAAGTATGTTATTGTGGATACGAGCAAAATGCAAAAATGCGGAAATTTTCAATGTGTAAATGTGGGGAAAAAGTGCAGAAAATTTTTCTTAACCCTAGCTCTACCGGTGCCCCAACCAAAACACTTAGTCAATGATGGTAGATTCAATTTTCTTATTCTTTCGTAGTATTAAAGAAGTCTTAAACTAAAAGTCCATTTTGCTTCTTTGCGTTGAATGAATTTAACAAGGTTTTATCAGATATAAGAAGCCAAAATAGTCATTTTATTTTTATTGTGTGGTCTAATTAACACTTTATACAACTTGAGAGCCATTTTGTTAGCAATAAAAGCAAATGTCTTTTTGCATACTAAGAATTTGTAAGGACTTTGAGACGACTGTTTAAAAATGTGTGCTCCACATGGCGTTACATGAAATAATGACTCCTAAATTACGAGCATTTTGGGGATTGATTTATTATACCTTTTTATTTAGCATAAGCCTATTTTGAGGTATAAAATCAACGTTTTGGCGAAATCGAGATTACATTTATGAATTAGTAAAATACTATAAAAGAGGAAATATCAAAAGACTTTGTTAGATTAGTCACGCAAAAGCTATGGTGAAGAAAGACATTTATTATCGTTAATGTACTTAAAGACTTTGTTTTTAACAAGTATTTTGACTGTTTTGCAGGCAACAGAGTTTAGTGAAATATGTTGATAATTATGATACGGGCATTGCAGAGGGCATTTTATTATTGTTAATGTGCTTAAAGATTTTGTTTTTGACAAATACTTTGACTGTTTTGCAGGTAACAGAGTTTAATGAAATAGGTCGATAGTTTTCAGCAAGTAGTTTATGTTTCGTTTTTTTATAGACCGAACTAAAATTTGCTAATTTCTAGAGAGTGAGTAGTATTTCAGAATTAAAGAATAAATAAAAGATTTTTGTAAATGGAAAAAATATTTATAGGGGTTTAGACTGGTAAGTTAATAATGTCTGAAATAGAAAAACCAAGTTGTTATTTTTAGTTTATTTAGGTTAATATCACTTTTTTATCGATGTAAATTATTCAGAGGGGTATTATTGTTGTTTCTTTTTTATGTGCTCTTTTTGCTTTAAATATGTCAGCTTTTATGGAACGATTAGGAAAACAGCAGTATATTTAAAGTTTCTTATTCTTCCATTTAGTTGACCAGTTGATATACAAAGCGTATTATTTTGCTCGGATTAGGTTTTTAACATGTGGAGTAACCTAAGGATCAAATTTATTCTTTGTTTTATTAATCTTGGGGATAAAATCTTCGCAAACAGTTGTATTATTAGAAATTAATAAAATAAAGATTTGATCCGCGGTTTTATGGAGAAATACATCAGCAATAAAGATAGCTACACTGCCACCTCGACGTCCGTCTTAGCAACCTTTTTTTTTAAGTGAGTTATTGTTTAATACAATAGCTTCACTATTGTACTTTGCTTTAAAACCTTACTATATCATACTTATCACTTAACCAAATTGTATATTTATGATTTAATATAGTTTGTTTTTATTTTTTAGATATAAATAAATAAAAAGTTCACTATTTGAATTATTAGTCAAGATTTCTACTAAAGCTAAAAAAAATAGTCTGAAAAAGAGTTAGTAGTTCTTAGCTATATAATAATAGCAAAAATTGCTAATGTTTATATACATGCACAAAAAAAAGCTATGTTTATATACATGCACATTATTTTTAAGAATGACAACTTTTAAAAAAAAATTTGAAAATTTTAGCTTGATAACTCTAAAAACTCTAGGCTCCCCCGCCACTGCAAGCTCTGCGGTCCTTTTGTTACGCTTCTAACTTAAAGTAGAAAGAAAAGAAGATTGCGCCATTAATTACATCATATTCATCTTAAGAACTACTGTTTGCATCAGGTTGTAGCTTGCGCCAAGATAATAAGGAAAAAAAAAAAAGCTTAAGCTAAAGAAAAAGAAGCTAAAGCTGCTTTACAATTGTTAGAATACATGAGTTTTGTTTCGGAAAATACTTTTAAATCAAAATATTTATATTAGTATTTACACAAAAAGGTTTAAGCTTTGGATTCCTTTTTAGTTTTATGACGTATAAAAAAGAGACCCCTTTAACTGCATAAAAATACTTAAAATTAGTAATTGTGAATGTATTAAATTTTTTAAATGCATAAAATTACTATTTATCAGATTGCCACATTAATTCTAAAATAAAAGGTCAACTACAAAAAAATAGCAAAAACTGAACTGTTCTCTAAGCTTTTTTTAGTTGGTTAAACAAAAAATATAGAATCTTGGACCTCCCCTTACCCCCCCCCTCCTCTCCTCCTCCCGCCTTAATGGGCCGTGTGAATAAAAATGAGCAATCGCTTTATTCAGTAATTGGTCAACTTTACGTAAAAAAAAACTTGAAAAATTTATCTCAAATTTTTATTCACGTAAAATTAGACGAATTACTCAGTAATTGCTCAGATTTACATGAATAAAAACATAGGCAAAATAGCTGTTTTTATTCACGTAAAGCTGATCTATTACCAAGTATAAGCAGTTGCTCATTTTTTATCACCCGGCCTTTTTCAAATTTGACGGAGTTAATAGCAGTTTTTTCAGTTTTGACGGAATTACTAGTTATATTTTGCCATTAAGCTTTCAGCCATAAACGAAAAAAAACTTTTTACCTGGTTTTTTAACTAAATAATAATTTCTGATAATAGTTTCAGTCATTCAGATAAATGAGTCACATTAAATGGTTCTAAATGCCTTATTCTACTACTTCGTTAAATAGAAGCATGATTTATATAGTGTGAAGAAGTTATGTTTTTTTCAGTTTTTAAATCTTTGATTAAACTTTAAAACAAATAAATTATGTTTAGCAAATACAAAAAATATTCACAGCTTTTTAAAGAAAATGCAGATTTTAAGACAAATTAATAAAAAATTTCAGGTTTGTAATTATGAATTAGTATTATTACTTGATGAAGAGCACTGACGTATAATCCCAGTTTTAGTTTTAAAAGAAAATAATTTATAGTACTTACATAATTAAGGTTTAATCATATTTGGAAATTGTTAGCATAATAATTCTTCAATATCATAATATATTTATATATATTTTCTATTTACTATTATTACAATATCCTATGATATTTTAAACATTGGAAACAAGGATCCTCGTTTAGATCAAACTATGTCATTTCCGAACTTATCATCTTTACATTGAGAATAAAAATATATTTTGCATTTCATACAACTATACTTTTATCATACTTAAAGTATACTTTTTATCAAACAAGGTATATCTTGTTTTAACTGTAAACATTTTGTTTTGTTTTTCTGATTCTTATTAAGTTTTTTAGTGTCAGTAATAATTAACCCCATATAATATCCATAAAAAATTTTAATTATAATTTTCACTCCTGGAATTTTTCAAACCACCAAAACCATATTTCACTCTTAAAATAGTTCAAACTACTTAGACAGTATCTCGAAGAAGAAAAAAATCTAACTAAAATTAAATAAAAATAATCCATATCTGTTGTAAATTTTGATAACCATAAAGCAATAATTTAGTACAATGATTGAATATTTTCTTGTCGCTTTCATACAACATAAATTTGTTGCATTATAATCAAGATAAAAGTAAACTGTGTTGCTTCAACATTTTCAACAAGTTTTAAATTTAGATCCTAAAATAGGATGGAGTCAAAAATTTTTAATATATAGTCATTTTGGATGTTAAATATGCTAAAATAAAATTTTAAATATGTTTGAATAGTTATGATAAAAGTAATAATAGTAAATTAATAATAGTATTAAACCAAACTTTTTATTTAACAAATAGTTCAACTGGAAAAAGAGCAAATAAAGTAAAAGTAAACAAAATAACAAAAATGTAGATGCTTATTTTTTTCAGTCAAGGAAGATTTCAATAAATTTTGCTTTCATCGTGAGAGGATCTAACTAAATATTCTTTTTGTGAGTATAAAAAACTTTTTTTTAATTATATGTTTGTATCCTTAAAGAGGTCAATCGTCAAACATTTTAAGATCAGCACAATGGAAAGATTAGATATTCCTGATGATTCTTGGTCTAAGAAGGCAAAAGAAAGCAATGCGTTATTAGAAAATTTTGCACAATTAAATAATTGGGAGAAACATGATTTGGTGAAACAAACAGGAGATATAAGAACTTATGGTCGTTGTGGTAATGAAAAAATATTTTATGGCGCCTTATTTTATTCAATTCATGAACAGAGAGCCAAAGGGTCTATAACTTATGGACCATGGTCAAGCAACGGTACCAAGTATGTAACCTTTGTACCTAAATTGTTACAGAGTCAATCTATCAAGAAACTCTGTCATTGACAACTAATTTATGTCATTTTTAAAATCATTCTTAATTAAAATAGATAAGAGTGTATGATCTAAATTTCTTTTCATCAGTTATGTACATGGAGGTGCCATTGCTACCCATCATGATTCAATTGCTGGTACTTTGGTTACTAAATTATTTGGTCCTTGCGTTACAGCTTATCTAAATATTAATTATAAAAGGTTTGTACAATTTATTTTTAATCGACAAATTTTCTAGTTTGACTTATTAGTTTGATTATTAATGTATTTTTTTTTAATGATTTCTTCTGTTTTTAAATGTCATAAATTTTTATGATATTTGTGATGTCGTTACATTAACACATACATATCCTTGATTAAACTGAAGAGGTAATTTTTTTTAGTGGGGATGAAAGCAACTTATTTAGGAAAACGAGTATTCTGATATAAATTTCACTAATTTAGTTGTTTAAGGGACAGAAGGAACCACTATATATATATATATATATATATATATATATATATATATATATATATATATATATATATATATATATATATATATATATATAAAACCATCAAATAAACAGTTGGAAACTTTTTGTTGTGAAAAGAACAAAATGCTGCCATGTTTTTTTAACCCAAAAAAGCATGTTTTTTTAGAGATTTTATAGTAACTTAATTAAGTTTTATTTAAGTGTTAAAGCTTTATTTAAGTGTGAACAGAGAGTTAAACAAGTGAGTTAATATAGTTTATATTTTTTCGATTGCATAAATAGTTAATAAATGCTCATTATTTGGTTTTAAACATAGTAAATAAAAAATTACTTTGATCAGAAATCTGATTAACTAATCTTGCAACATCTTAAAATTGTTTTATTCTAAAATAGTTCCATAGTTTAGTTATTAATGAAATGAAATAATGACAATTGTACAGTCTTCTCTGTTTAGCCAGTGCTTTTGCGCTCAAGCCTTTTCGCGTTCGCCCACACGCCCACAAGAATTTTGGTGGGCGCATAAAAAAGTGTTATAAAAAATAAATAAAAGCGTTTTGTTTTAATATCCAACAGAACTTTTTTGTTAATTTCTTCATGTTAATTTCTTCAACTTTTATGAAAAATGGCATTTTTAACTTTTTTTTTTTAATTATATTATTGAGTATTTATTCAAAGCATTTTTTTTTGCTGTTTTTATTTTAATTTAAATAGCAGAAAAATATAAATGTGTTTTTTAAATCTCGAAGGCTAGCTTAAAAACAATTTTGCTAAAGCTTTTTCTTGCGCTTGCATTAAATTTCAAGCAGAGAAGACTGATTGTAGTAATCACATTTGTTGTTTGTATAATTTATGATAAACTGCTACAATTTGTATTCGTTAGTGGTAGAGCGCTTGCTTTGTAAGTGAGAAGTTCTAAGTTCAATCCCCGCCATGTCTCTGGTAATACTTGCTCAACTTGTTTCTCCACGCAGCAGCTTCCTTCATGTTTTGGAGTTAAATAGTTGAGAAAGGGTTGTAACCACAAAAAAAATAATAATAACAAAATTGACTGTAGTAGCCCCCCCCCCCCCCCCAGACTTGTGGCAGTGAATAAGATTTGAAAAAATTAGGATTTTAAAAATTTCATAACACCATTAAACATGTTTTGTTAAAAAACAGTTTTCAAAAAGATTATAAATAGTTTTTATTAATAAATATTAAAATATTTAACATTTATTTATAATATTTATAATATAAATATATAATATTTATATAGGTTTAAAATATGATTAACCAACATTATTTCTGCTCTCAGAGATATAATGTTGACAAATTTGTTTGCGATTGTTTACAAAAGTATAGTTAAACAAAGAAAAACAATGCAAAAGTAAATAAATGAAAATTAATACTACAGTTAACTCCCAGTAAGTCAACACCCAGTAAGTCAACTCCCAGTAAGTCAACACCCAGTAAGTCAACACCGATTAACTCAAATTTATGTTATCTAGAACTGTTTTCTATAGTCCCTTGAAAACAAAAATAATAGTTTTACCTGCTCGAACATTTGTTTAGTTGAACTGTTTTCCTTAGTCCTGTGGAGGTTCGAGTTAATGGAAATTTACTGTATATTATATTGCAATTCTTTTAAATTTTGCAACGCAGTGTTATTTAATTCACAAAATAAAAATCTTTAATTAGCTTATTCTCATTGATTTCACTAAATAATACAGTTATTCTTAATTTAAAAAATGGATTAAGTAAAAATTTTGTTTTTGAATATAAAAAAATATTTCTACATAAAAAAAAACCAATATAAAAGCAAAACTAAACTACTCCCTGTTACTCATATTGTTATATAAGTATAAAATAAAAGAAAATTATTTAAATAACAACTGGATAAATATAAAAATATTTAATTTTTTTTTTTTTTTAACATGAAGTATTTAGTTGAAGAACAATTACTGAAAATACTTAAAGAACAATTGAAGAACTTATAACAATGAAAAAGCCAAAAATATGAACCCCTTGATTTTTTTGGTCAACAAAACATTTTTTTTCTTGAAAATAAATAAGAACCAATATAAGAAAGTTAAATCTTTATATAAATATTTTGTAAATCAACAAGGAAAGGTAGTAGAAATATTATTACTGTGACATTTTATATGTGCATGACATAAGTTCTCATTAATGATAATAAAAGTTAATCTTTCAATTAAAAGTTGATCACAATGACATCTGCAGTTTTAACAATTACTTGTAGAGATGTCCAGTCATTATTTTCTCAATTTATTTTAAAATGATAAAGGAATTTTTATTTTTTGATATCTAAAAGCAATTTTCACTTTTTTCTTTCATTTTTTTTATTTTTTTTATTATTTTCATATAAATAATAACAATTGAATAAACATTTTTATAAAAACAAGTTATTTAAAATGAGACTTAATATTTTCTAAAAAATTTATTTCCTTTAACAATTAATTTTTTTATTTTCTCTTAACATTTTAAAATGGAGTTAAATAAGCACTTGAGTTGCAAGTTATTGAATTTGTAGATATCATAAGGGTTAATTTTTATCAGAGATTCCTGTATTAAATGTAACAGATAGTTTACATTTATGTAGAATTTATAATAAATGCTTTTTGACCTTGTCTAAAAGAGAAAGGGCATCATTGGAAGATCCGCTCCAGATATGGCAACATTCCATACAAAGACAGATTTGAGATTTATATAGATAAAGAATAGAATTCCAATTAAGAAAGCCTCAAGCACAATAAATTGATGCAACCTTTGCAGATGCTAATTTTGCAATGGATTTGGTATATGTTATCCAAGAAAAATTGGAAGTAAAAGTTAATCCTAGAAAATGAAGTGTAGATGACTCATTGAGTACATTACCGTTCATAAATATAGGAAGATCTAAATTCTTGCAATAACAATAATTTACATCAAGTTTACTAATTATCTACTATTTGTTTATCTATTTACTACTAAATATTGTGGTAGAATTTCACTTTTAACTTGTAAATATTTTAATAAGCAAAACTTGTATAAAATATTTATACAACTATAGAATAGTCATTTTATATATTTATCTTTTTTTTTATTTATATCTAAATTATGATGTTTATGCTATATTCAAGATGTGTATTTATATTTTAATTGTATATTTTTATTTCAGTCCTATGTCAGTTGGATCAACTTTTTTGTATGAGTGCGATGTTAAAAAAGTGGAAGGACGTAAAATATTTGTTGAAAATAAGATATTTAGTTTTGAACATGAGCAAGTTGTAGGCGATGCTAGTGCTTTATTTGTAATGCTTAAAAAGGATTTGCTGTAGTGACAAATATAATATTGGAAACTCCACAAAGATTTAAAATAAAATTAAACATTTATGGTTTTCCTGATTTTTTATACATTTTTTTTTTAGTTAGGTTTTAAAATTAGAATTGTAAATATAGTTTGATAAATATACTGTGATGTTATTTGTTTAAGTGTTAAAAATATTTCAGAGGACTGATCTCATTTAATTTGATTTCTTTTTTGAGAAGTCTTGATCTCGTTACTATAACGAGTTGCATTTACACCACACCTAATTTTTTTGTTAAAAAATCCTATAGATTTTTTTAAAAGCTTTTTTGTTAAAAAATTCTATAGGTTTCTATTAAAGGGCCCCTAAATTTTCAGATAGACCTCCTAAAACTTCTGCCCCCACTCCTAATTGGGGGAGGGGGTTGGGTAGTCTAGCTACGATTCTGGGTTTTTGACTTCATCAGTTTAATTTTATGTGAAATAGTTTTTAACAAATCACACATACATTATATTTGCATATTAGAATGAACTTCGAAATTGTTCTGTCTATATAATTTAGCAACTGTTTTAATAATATTTTAATTAAACAGTGTTTTTCTTATGCTATTTATTGTGGAATATAAATAAATGTTTTTAATAGAGTAATAATAAATAGATATTTTGCATTATTTATTATTTAATGATATATGTACAAAAGTTATAAAAATATTGTGTCCTTCCTACTTTAAAAATGTTTCTTCTATACTTCAAAAATGTGTTGATAATAGTCAAGTTACAGTGGTATGACCTTTTTAACTGAATGTTGTGTTTCTTAGTTTTTAATTTATTTTCTCTAAAGGAAATTACTAAATGTGTCTCACAGTCCTAAGAGAGATCACTCGGTCGATACAATCTAGACTATACGGGATTGGCATCTAATTACAGGGTTATTAGGAAATATAAATTAACTTGAACGGAAATTTAAATTATGTTATGCAGAAATATAAACTATTTTATACAGGTATATAAATTAAAATAAGAAAATAAAAGTTTTTAAAGTTTTTAAAAAAAAGTTAAAATATAAGTTTGATGGCAGCCATTTTCAAACTCACTTCGAAGAAATCAGTTTACTTACTATATTACAGTTTTTCTAATTAATTTCTTATTTTAATTTATATTTTCGCTTAACCCTGTAATAAATTAAAAGTCTAAAATAAGAAAAATATAATAGAAAACAAATTATATTCAATTCATTAATAAGATAAACAATATCAGTTAATCAATTAATTTTCTTAATAAATAAACTTATTCCTTGTCAACGCATTAGCAAATAGACGAGAGACACTAATTAACGATATTCTAAATATAAAAAAAGATATACTAATAACGATATACGATAGAAATACTAATTCAACAATGAGTAATAATTAACAAAATTTCGTTTTCGACCGTTTATTAAATCTCGTACTCTGTTTTTTAATTATTCAGGATTTTGTGCTAACGGACGAATGTTTTTATTGCTGCTTTTTACAAAAAAATTCCTCGATGGGATTAGGTTGGGGGGGGGGGGAAATAAGGTGGAAGATAATTTTACATCATGCTGTTCTCATTTAATATTTTCAAAACATTAGATCGACGATGAAACCGACAACTATCTACTATTAAAATACAATCTCGATTTTGAATAAATATGGCAACAGTGTTCTGTTATAAAATCAATAAAGCGATCATCATTATAGTAACACCTTACTTAGTATAATATCATTATAATATCAGCATCATCTGTTAACTCGTATCCAATTATCCCAGTAATTGAAATGGCTACCATCAAGCTTATATATATATTTTTTTTACCTGGAGCATTTATGTATGCTTTCGTGTTTATTGGAACGTATCTATAATTAGACGATGAGTAGAGGTTGAACCCCGTTTTATTCAAAAAAACTAACTTTGATGTGGATATATGTTGAATTTCTCTTGCATAACTCTGTCTTAAATCAAGAGTTTTTGCATTGTTTCATTCTTGTGGAGCCAGTGATAAAAGCTTTCTTGTTATTTTCATTACTTCAAGTTGCCTAGAAACAAACGTCTGAGACAAATAAAACCTCGATTCCAGCTTGTGTTAATGATCCCAAAAGTTTGGCTTATTTATTTAACTTCTTTTTCAGTCACGTATCATTTTCAATAAATCAGATTTTAAAGTAGTTTTTTTTATTCTCGCTGGTTTACCATTATCAAGGTATTAAATTTTTTTTTTCATTTAAAAAATATTTTCTTACTGACTCAATCCAATAAAAATAAATAAAAAGTTAATACAGATGTATAATGAGATGCAACCCAATTAAATTTATATTTCAGCATAAAATAATTTATATTAGGAGGGTGTCAGATATATATATATATATATATATATATATTATATATATATATATATATATATATATATATATATATATATATATATATATATATATATATATATACATGATTTCCATTCTGCTCTAGTTTTTAACCAGCATGCAATTATGCCTCTTTACCCTTTCATAAACTTTTTTTTAGGCTTCAATTAAAAAGTTTTACAGTTCTTTCCATCGATTGTAAGTTGTTTGACTGATCAGTGAAACAAATTTTTCTAGCAGTTTAAAAAGCTTGTAATAAAGCAACATCAAGCAACATTAACATCAACAAACTCCGAACTTAAACTTTGAAGTTCAAGGGTGTAACTGAACATCTTCTTTCCTTAAATGTAACTTTTTAAAATTATCTGAAACACATTCTTTCCAAATTTTTCTGCTTCTACCTCTAGCTTTGTTGGGAAGGAGGCGTGAACTTCCTATTAAATGCTCTTCCGCGGTGCTCTGTGATAAGACCGTAAGGACTTCTTGGGGCACCTAAATCAACATAAAAAAAAAAAAAAAAAAAAAAGCTTTTTCTTCTGAAACTTCCAACTCTCTAAATGCTGATAGCCAGTCATCTGCATCTTTACGCTTTACATGCCCAAACACCTAAGTCTTCCTTTACGCACCCAATCAGATATACTCACAACGCCTAATCTTTTTTTTAAATCATCACTGCTTTTATTTTCTTTTAAAGTCATACCGCATAACATCATCTTTTCTGTTCTTTCCAAAAGCTGTACATCACCAACCTACATTTCCCATGTTTCACTATGGATATATGTGATGTAGAACTTTCCTTTAATCATTAATGAATCACCTCTTGCTGTTAAAAGTGGAGATAATTCTCGAAACTTGGCTTAAGCGAACCTTACTCTTGCCCAAGATGCTTCTTCTGTTCCACCAGCTGATCCAACTGTGTTCCCAAGATAGCAAAATTTACGAACACACTCTATCTTCTCCACTTTTTATTTCAATCTCTTTTTTAACTACTTCTATATACTAGCCAAAAGTACATTTTCTACACTCAAAACCAACAATCTTTAGAGAAAATCTCTTCAATATTCAATATCATCTCTTTTGAAACCATTGCATACAAATTGTACAAACTATAGAGTTAACTCCAACTCTCTTCCTAAACACTCCTCATAACCACTTCCCAGTATTTTCTGCTTGCTCATTCTTGACTTTACAACGCACAATTTTTGTCATATTCATATTTATTTTAAGCCCTTTGCTTCAATTCCATCTTTCCAAGTCTCAACATAATTCTTCTTCGGTTTCAGTAATTTCTGAGTTATCGCTTTTGCTAACTATTTGCTCCTCAAACTCGTTACTTAATTTTATAATGTAAATAACTATTTATATGGTCTAACTTTTCAAAAAAAAATTAATTCACATGGTATATTTCAAGGTACGAGGACTGAGCAAAAACGGGGGGCCCGAGCTTTTTTTTTATATATATATATTTTGGTTTACATTTGTTAGTTCATTTTTACATTATAATAAGTAATTAAAAAATTAATACAAATTATAAAGTAAGCAAAATACTACTAAAATTTGAAAAACTAGATATTTGAAAGAAGATCAGTAAGATATTATCGTCAGAACCTTATACTAGTGTAAACAAAATATTAGGTAATAAAGTAACTATAAGTACAGCAAAATAAAAATGAAATATACATACATATATCACTTTGTAGTATAGATAATAAAGTTTAATAATTATTTGCATAATATAAATATTATTGTCAAATTTTGATAATACGGGAGAGAAAAAGATTTTAAAGCTTAACTTTAAAAATATGCAAAGAAGTAGGTAGATCAAAATTAAAATTAGGCAAAACAATTTTGTTCCAGAGATGGGGTGCACGATAATCAATGCAAAACTGGTTAAAATTTGTTCGACAATAAGGCTGAAGGTTGTTATTTCTTAGAGAGTATTTATTGATAGGTTTCAAGGTAATTAAATCATTAAAAACGGCAGGAAAAAGAAAGGTAGAGTTGGGGGTAAATAACGTTTTTTAGTTATCGATTGAAATAGAATCCATTTTGTTTTGTTTTTTGTATTTAGGGTAAATTTATTGCATTTGAACCAGCTAGAAATTATTTTAAGTTCTTCATTCATAGTAGTGAAGAGTTTATTAATATTGTTATCAGATAAAAATAAATTAGTATCATCCGCAAACATAATACTTAAAAGATAAGAAGCTTTATACAAGTCATTAATGTATATTAAAAAAAGAAGTGGCCCTAAAATTGATCCTTGCGGAACACCACATGAAATATCTAAAACATTTTTTTGATAAGGATCGTTAAAAGAAACGAATTGTTTTCGGTTTGTTATATAACTTTTAAACCACTTCAAAATTACACCATCCACTCCACAATATTTAAGTTTATGAATCAAAATGTCATGATTTACTGTATCAAATGCTTTTGATAAATCCAAAAAAATACCTGAAGTGAATTGGGAATTTTTGAAAGAGTTGAAGATTTCACGGACAATTTGGATGATTGCATACTCAGTAGAACTATTTTTTTTAAATCCAAACTGATTTTTATTAAAAAAATTCTTCTCTTTAAAATAAGTATATAATTTTTTGTAAATAATTTTTTCTAAGATTTTTGAAAATGTTGATAAAATAGAAATAGGTCGGTAGTTACATACATTAGTTTTGTCTCCTTCATTGTACATTGGGATTATCTTAGCTATTTTTAACTTATCAGGAAAAACTTCTTGTTGTATTGATGCTCTGAAAACTTTAAAGAGAATATCTTTTAATTGTTCAAAAAAGAGTCGTAAAAAAAAAATAACGACTCCGACTCCGATTCCAGTTGTT